CCCTCTCAAGCTTTGAGAAGGATTGCTTTGGACTGAGGCTAAGACAATGTCGGTCTTGGTGGAACGTGGACGTCCGCTCCCTGGCGCTTCGTCGAAGTAAATCTCCTCTAGAGAAGCGACCGTACCACCTATAGCAGGTGGCGAGAGAAGATGCAGCACTGCCCATCGATGACCGCAAATCATTCCGGGCTTGAGAGGCGGAATAACCAGCTCGGTAATAATGAAGCAGAAGACGCCGGTAGTCGTGTCGGTCGGACATAATTCAAATGATGATAACTAATTTCCATAGAAGAAGTGCAATACTGTTCTATTGTTTTGATGATCTACCTAGTGTGCCCTTTTCCTGCCCTTTTTTCCGTGGCTGTGCCTCAGCGCTTCCTTGAGCAACATGGTTGCGAAATTCATGACCATTTTCTCAAAACTTTTGTGACATCCTAATACTTCCGCTTGTCAACCAATGTACGAGTCAGTCCTCAAACCTTTCGGGGTCTGGTATCTTCTCCCCTAACGGAGTTTCGCATTCGCCGCACTCGATTGCGCGCTATGAAGGGAAAGATTGCCGTGGCCGTGGGAGTTCGGGGAGAAGTTTCGCCACCCGATCCTCCTAGACGAGTCTAGTACCGATTGGCCGAGACAGGGGGATAGGTTTGATTGCTCTTGACAGGTATCTTTTAGTGATGCAAACCTCGACCATGGGTGTGTGATAGTGCGCCTCTTTCCACTATACCTATCCTCATCCCGTACCCGTTACAATTGTGATGAATGCTCCCTTCAAAAAACAGCGTTTTGCCACTCTAAAGGAAGCCGGTATCAATGTACGAGATTGTGAGATCGAAAGTTTCCAAAAGAGAAGCCTAAGTCGATATGGCAATTTCAACTCTTACAACATTGCTAGACATGTTTTTAGATGCTAGATGCTTGGCTTTCCCGTCTTGCGGAATGATTTTCAGCAGGGAGTGAAGGTGTTTCTAATGGTAAGTCAGACTGGAACAAACTTGAAAGATTGCTATACCTCCGCTCACAGCGGCGGCCTGGAGCAATGCAAAGAGCGAAGTCTCAAAGGTGTAACCTATGGATTGGATTTTCTGGGAGCGAAGTTTCTCCTTTCTACAGTTTCTCCTTCGACCCTGAAAACTTTTTTATACTGGTTTTATCGCATTCCATGACTTTTCTGTTGTTGTTATCTATTGTGATTATCTATTATTTAAACCATCCGTAATTCGGTTTTTATCCAGACCTCAGACTTTTATATAAACCATATAACTTCTTCGTTCATCCATACAATCAACAATCAAAGCAGGGTTTTTTAGTTTATGACAATATGTTGTATTCTAGCCCAAAACGTTTGAAACAAAGTTCAAAGAATTCTTCAACATTGGCAAGCCCGAAATTTCTTCACATCGCTTCATAATTACCCATAACACGAAACACCGGAAACTTCAACCGAACGGGGATCTCCAAATCATCAGCGCGATTTTTCAAGTAACTGACGAGTGACCACGTGCAGAAGAGAAATCTCACAGACAAAGTACCACTGAAATTGGAAGAGACAAGTGAGACTAAGCGAAGAATCGAGCTGCGAGAGGCGTGCAAAAGTTGAGCTCATAGTGAGCTATGTTTGCATGCATTTGAATAGGAGGGAATAAGTATGCGGATGTATGAAGGGATGTTCGAACATTCGGTTGGCTGCTTTGGTGGAAGTAAAGCGAACAGAACAGCTTTACGATCTTCAAAAGATGTCCAACTGTCCATCCCATCAGCAGTATTGGTAGTTAGTAAGTACATCCTCCTTTCATAACAGTGTGGTTTAGAAGTGTCTGGTAACGCAAAACATCTCGACAATGCACGTGCATCAGCCAGAAGAGTTGCGAATCCAGGCGATCATCTACGAAAAGACAAAGCATCACCGTAAAAGGGTGAATGCTTGCACGACCGACTGCTCAATCTTTTCTACTCTTTTTCTACGTTCTGCATAGGCTAATGATGACTGAACACGCGAGTTCTTCGCGAATTACCTTGATTAGAGTTTAGTGATCAGGAAAAAACTGATAAGCTAAAAAGAGAAGGATGTAGAGTCGAAGCTGTTATACGGAATGGGACTAGACTTCGAATCTGCTTTCCAAATTTGCCAAACGATTCTCTGAATGAAGTTGTGAAGGTGGTTATGGGTGAGTTCTTAACATAAAGCACTTGAGATATGAAAGCAAATGCAATCACAGCGATGATTTGTAGCAGTGGAAGTGTGACGTTCATAAGCATCAGACCATGAATGGGGTTTTAAGATTGAAGTTTAAGATCTAGCATCTTGCGAGGCGTTCTCCTCAACGACGGGAAAATTTTGTTCTATGGATTTGCCGCCTTCAGCAGCCTTGCGGATGCCCGAATTGACTCGGCTTCCACCTAAACCGTACAATATCGCATGTTGATGAATATGTGATCACAGCTCTTTTGCTCTCCACATACTCTTTATGTTGACAGTGAGATAGCTACATCACTTCATGAACAGATCTTATAGTCTAGCGCGAAATATGTGGAACAAAGTTTTTCGCAGTGGGAGCAAAAAATAAAAAATACTTGCTCCAAGCCGTTTCTTTACAACTTACTGGATCGAAGGTAAAACAGAACTCTGTAGGCGTCTCATGTTCGAGCAAAAGAAAAATTTCTCAATAGAGCGTGGAACTGAAAGTAGAAAAGGCGCAGGCAAAGACTGAAATGATGGTCCCTTACTTATGTGATGATCTTTTTGAACATATTCTAAAGGGGAGAAAAAAAAAACAAGTCTATTGGCTGTATTGAACTCCTTGCTAACAGCACATTCGGTTACTTCCAATGTAAAGCAGACTTGATAACTAGATGATTTTTAAAAAAATGTCGGAGAGTCAACACCAACATCAAAGAAAAGTCATTAGATGACTGCGAAACAGTAGCGCTAGCAGGGACTGGTGTGCATATCCTTCAGAGATCCCAAAGATAAAGAGGTGTGCGTATGTAACCAATGACTTAGTAGCGATACTGCACGGTTTATGTAGGAACCGAATCAACTCAGGCACAGCAGCTGAAGACAGAAACGTCAACATACAAAGGTTTCCCCGCTCTCAAAGAAAAAGCCTCGCAAAATTCAAAAACTACATCTTGCACAAACCTGACCCAAGGGTCAATCATACGAAGTGGAAAGCTTATCTTTGCTTCAAGGCACCGCTGTGAGCATAGTAACGCCGATAGTTTGTTCATGTTAAGCACTCACCTGAAACTGCCTCCAGAGAGTCGTTTGACAAACTTGGAAGCAAATTCCAAATCAGCACCTGGAAATACGACTGGCGATAAAAGCCTCACTTCAACTGACCACTTCGACTTGGGATCCTTCCCTTGAAAGAGCAGAATCATTTCAGTCTGCCTCCTTGCTGTTAAAGGACGTTGATGGTGTGGGTGCAGAATATCACAAAACGAGCGTTGCGGTACGGGTAGGAGATGCGTTAAAGCCGAAGGGTACCCCTTCAATTCTTAGAAGCAGTAGAATGTGTGCCCAAAGTACATACTAAGGTCGTAGATTTTTCTTTTCAATGTTGATAGTTGCGTAAAAAGCACTCAAGGACCAGATCAAGTAATTGTTAGTGAACTCTTTCCTAATCGCTGCCTTAAGTATTGCAATGTTTCGTAAAAAACTATAAATGACCGAACTAATCAGCTGAAGGGTGTTTAGTGATCTCCTAAAGATGAGCTGCCCCAGTTTCGAATCCCTTTCCCTCTGTAAATTGCTTGATATCCCAGATGAGCAGGAATTCAAAAAAGAACCGAGAGGTTTTTTTACTTCCTACAGGACTTTTAAATGTGAATTTCGTGGAATTTCAAGCTCTTTCAATATGGCTGTTGGAACCAGGGCTGTTGGAGTTTTCCCTGTTCAAAGACCTTATTTCCTATAGGAAATCCACTTTATTACTGTCTCGTTCTCATAATTAAAGGCACACTTCACGATAAAAATGGTTTCTGAGTTTCCCCTAGGGGTAACCTATGGCATCCAAAGATAATGGAAGAACGCTGTCGGGTTCAAAAACTCAAGAGCTAGGGCATAGTGGAAACTCCACTACCGGATCGCCCGGATGCCACGCCCACGATGAAGTGTCGAGTCGATGTTTTTTTTCTTTACTTAGTTTCTACCTCAAGAGAGTTGAAAAAGGTGGGCTAGTTCTGGGGCTTTTGTTGAATTATGCTTATGAGTGAATTAATATTAAAGAGACATTTCTGCTTGCTGTGGTCAGCTATTCACAACAGGACCTACACTTACGCAATGACTCACATTGTATAGCCCGTCCCAACACCCCTTCTTCTTCTTCATTTTTTTTTGGCCTTCTTCTCGTCCATCCCCCTTTTAACTACTTTTTCGAAGCCTTTTATTACTTTGGAAGCACCGATTCGCGCACTTTTTTCGCCTTCAAGGCAGTATTTTCCACCATATCTTCTATTTTTTGTCATAGTCCAGCTTACCCAAAGTTATAGCTAACTGTGCCTTTGAGATAAGGCTATGTACGACTTAGGTTAAGCACGAAATTAAGGTAAGGCTACGTGCGATTGAGGTTCACCTAGGCGCGGAAAGATCTCAATCGTAAAGAAGTATGTATACCCTTCATAAAACTTATGTTATGACCACAGTAGATGAACGAAAGTAAGATCACTAACAGTATTGTGAAACCAGTTGTGGGAAGTAAGCCGACGCGATTGAATGAAGCAAGTCAATTGAGCTCGTAGTTAGAAAGGAAATACTTTAGAAGGCTTTTCCAACGATGTGTACACTATCACAAAACTACAGATAAGATTTTCGGCTCTAAGGATGGACTCAAACTGATATAAGACCGAGCATTAAACGACTATGGAGCACCCAAAGAACTGGTGATCAAAGCTTTCAATTTCACCTTGCATGTTGAACTTTGAATGTGGTCGTGAGATAGCACATTACGGCAGCAACGCAAACCGTTTAAACCTTTCTACACGAAGAAATAATGAACTCACAATTGAGGCTTGCGAGGCGAGCGAGCGCGAGTCACCAAAGGAGGGTCTGGTTGATTCATGGCTTCAAGAACCGATGGTGCAACATAAGTGAAACCAACAAATGGATTATCACCGGTGAAACTGCAATTTGATAGTCCTCAAATTGAAAACGAAAAGGATAAAATGGTATGCTACAGAAAAGAAGAGTTATGATAGCAGCAAATATTTTGTAATGACCTGAAAGTCGATTCACAAGGCGAGTCCACAGGTGTCATCTTTGTAAATCGAGTATCGAATAAAGACGCGTCTTCTTCGCTCTTCATTTCAGGCTTGAATGGTGGCTCGAGCTGAAAGAAAGGATTGGAATGGAATTGAGCAATTCAAAAGTTTTCTATACAATTTGTAGTTTCTTATGATTTAGCTATATTATTATGTTTGCACAGTACATTCCAAAAACATACATCCTTTCCATCCATAAATGAGAATAACTCTATACACAAATGCTTACTTTAACCCATTGACGACCATGCAGTCCACATGTGGACTGCACTTTTTCGGCCACGTGGGACCATGCAGTCCACATGTGGACTGCAGTTGTATTTTTTGTTTTAATCATCTATATTTCCATTTTTCACAATTCCTTCTCAAAACACTACACCAGGCCTAAATGAAACTACATACAGCGTGGTCCTAGAAAATCTTCTAATTTTACATTTGTAAGGTGTTTTTTTTTTGAAGGAGTACATTAACTTGGTGAATTCTTCGTTCGTTGAACATCTTCAAAAAATGAGATATTTCTAAAAGACGGTCGTCATTAGCATTTGCGCTGTTATCGACCAAACGCAAAGCTCCAAACGCAACGCAATTAAAAGTTCCCGAAACGATTTCTGGTAATGATTGAACTCATAATTGAATGACTACTAGGACGAGGGCAGGCTCTATAATAAAGATCAATAATCAGTCAATGTGGGCATTCTTACCAAACCCATTTGAAGGAGCATTCCTGAAAACTTATAGTTTTCTCTTATAAACTTCAAAAAGTGGTCATGCTGAACCATGAAGTCCACATATGGGCTGCAGTCGCTGGTGGACTAAAAGCGCGCTGGTCCCACCGCGCTTTTCCCGCAAAACGTCGTGGTCGTCAATGGGTTAAAGTACAGCTTATCCCATAATAAAGAATAAAGGTTGAGTCCTTGGGTTAATCACTCCACTCTGAAGGATGCGCCACCGAGTTCTTCCAATCAGAGTCGTAGTGGCGTATTGAACGTGGTATGTGACTGATACAGTGACTTGCGGTGACCAGCCGATGTACAAGTAGGTGCTTTTTTCCTCCCACCCGAGCCTGTAGCAATTAACCGACCCCAGAGGGATGGAAGGCTTGGTTGGCAAAGGGGTTTTCGATAAATCGGGATATATCGATCCTCCAGTAACACCCTGGAAATATCAATCGGAGATTAGCTGAGGCCCCGTCACTTCAAATCTACGGACAGGAAACACTGAACCATTGAAAAAAAAAGGAATTCATAGTAAACGAACAGATCGGAAACCCACGCAGGTTCAACTGAAAAGTTTGGATTAATAAAACTAGTCAACCAACCTCACGGGCGAAAACAAGATTCCAGTTTAGATGACGGAAAAATGGATGCTGCTTGATCTCTTCAGCATCTTCAGGTCCTACAAAAGAAGTCAACAAACTAACAGCAATAATCTATTCAATTCACTTGTTATTCATCAAACTTTTAGTTCTTGGGTGTTGAGTAATTGGAGGCCGACCTCTTCGTTTCCGAAAAGCATTTTATAAGATGAGATCACAACAAAAATCCCCACTATATATAGAAAGCGCTCGCGGCTGTCTGTTTGTACGGAAATTCTATTAGCTGAAGAAGCACCTGCAGAAGTGGAATCAAGTTTGGGATGAGTTGGACATAGGACAAAACAAAGAGAGCTGTCAGCTCAGCAGAGGTCTGCCCACTAGAGGCGGGGCTTGCACGACAGTGGGCGGTGTTTTGAGCAAAATGTCTGAATAAGGGTTTATATCAGCCCAGACGCCGGAAAAAATGGGCAGAGGTGAGGGATGAGTCAAGTGAAATGGAGAAAACCCACCGGCGGTGGCGGAGCTATCTTGCAGTGGGCGATACTCACCATATGAGACCATAACTCGATTTAACGGAAGGGTTGGGGGCAGAAGAACAAACGAAGTGTGCAAGGCTTATGCATGCTGGGCATACGTAAACGTGTCGATACTCTGCCCACAGTGGTGGACGAGCATTTAAACATTAGGTCCTTTTCGAAAAATTCATAACTCTGTTCAAAAACGTTGCAGAACGCGGGAAAAGAGGATGAAGGTAATGGAAGGAACGTGGCTAAATTCCTGGAGATACCGGAGCGTGCACTATGATAGACCGGCTAAAAACAAATATTCATTACTCTATACAAAAATGTTCCAGAACAGGAGAAAAAGTAGTTGGAAGTAAGGGAATGTGGTCAAATACCTTATTTGACTCGACTTTGCGCAGGAATAAACGGGGCAAAAATCGAAAACTCATAACTATTATCGAAAACGTTCTTAAACACGGAGTAAATTGTTAGGAGCAGCTGTAATAAAAGAGGGTTGGTCGAACTTTCACGGGGTCTGCACTGATGTGGATGTTGCAATGTTCAACCATAATAATTCTGCACAAAAGGAATAATCAAATCACGAAAAGTATTAGCGAGGAAGACTTCGAAAAAAAAAAAACGAAGGTGCGCGTTGAATGCAACAATGAAGGTGCATTAAGGCAGCGTCCACAGCTGACAGTTCGAGGGCCTTTATTGTCATGGTGGTTTACAAGTGAAACCACATGGCTTGGATAGTTCTGAAGATTGAAAAAACTCCACTGCTTTCGCTCGTAGAAGGCCAATTGGAAACTCACAACTTTTAAGGCAGCAAATGAGTAATGATGGTCATTAACTAATCTATAAACAAAAGAACTGGGGCAACACCAACCTGCTCCAAGTCTTGTCTCAACGTGTCTCTTCAGCAGTCTCTTGATCAAATCACGCGCTTCCACAGATAGGTATGCGGGTAAAGTTAGTCGACCCTAGGAAAGATTGTAATAAAAGAATCCTACATTATACGCGAAAATGGAAACAAAAGAAATGAATTCAGGGAAGGTGAGGGCAAAACAACTCTATATGAGGGTTACACAAGCCAACAGTTAATTCACTTCGCGAAAGGAAGATACCTTGAGAATCTTGTCGATAGTTTTCTTTCTGTTCTCCGCAGTGAAAGGAGGTCCTCCAGTGAGCATATCGAACATGAGCGCTCCCAAGCTCCACCAGTCAACCGCTTTTCCGTGTCCGCATCGCATCAAGATCTCCGGTGCCATATACTCTGTGTTGTAAAAGATGAAGAGCGATCACTCAACAGGTTAATTTTTTAGTGTTTATACACGGTCCGTTACACTCATATTGTGAAGCTGTCACAGGATTAAAACAACCCAATGAATTCAAGAGCGGTTAGCGTCCAACTAGGCTGAAAATATTGCTCGACCAGTCAAGCTTACGATCGGACTACTATCGACCACAGCCATTAAAATGCAAAGTTTTGAAATGGAGTAAAATCAAGAATGACGAGTGGTAAATTTACACCCAGAACCCAGAAAGATACTCCCATTTTCAACTCTGAGAAATAAAATAGAGGAAAAATTGCATATTTAATAAGTATTCAAACCAATAGTTCCACAGAATGTATGGGTTTTTTGATCGCCTTCAATTGCCTCCTTGCAAAGTCCAAAGTCTGTAAGCTTCACATGACCGCGTGCATCAAGAAGTATGTTTTCCGGCTTGAGATCCCGATAGATTATACCTGGTAAGGGAGACAAGTCACTACAGCGATCTCTCCATGATAATGCAAATTACTTTTTTGTAATAGAAAATAAATGTTTGACGTGGTATACATGTCAGCAACCGATTCAAGATCAAATATTTTGCTATATAGGTTCGGATAAAAAAAATGGAAAAAGGTTGGACAGAAAAAATGATAAGATACAACTTTTTCGAAGGAAACCTTTAACAAATACCTTGTCTATGCAAATGCTCCAAACTGACCACTATTTCAGAAAGATAAAAAGCAGCAGTGTCTTCCAGGAACATCCCTGCAATTATAGAACAAGCAGGTAATGAAAACGGATAAAGGAAACCTGAAAGAGAAAGGGACGTTTGAGGATATTAAAAAAGATAGATGTAGATTCAATACAAATATAGCCATTGCTATTGCTACTATTGCTTGGTTTCTTTATTACAAGTATTGCCGGCATTGTTTATTTCTTTCGCCGCCTCTTTTCTGGTTTAATTGGGCGCACCAAGAGTGCAATTCAAATAAATAAATAAAATTTTGAGAAGATCATTGCGCAAACATTGATGCCTGATGCTGTTTTGGTGCCTGCTATACTCCCAATAATTGTAAAGCAAAACGTAAAAAATGGAGGAATAAGTAAAAAGAAGATGAGAGAGAGACCAGTTGGGCTATGCACACTAACGCGTGCACCATGCCATGCCCACTGCCGTTACCTACGACTTGTTAGAGGACGAATATAAACAGTATCGGTTGACTTCCCTTTTCATAACTGTTTCCCCATTAGGTGATATTCCCCAAGTTGAAAGATTTGATGCCGCTTTGTGGGTGTTGATCTTTTGACACTAATAGGTGGTCGTGGATTTGTTTCCTTTCTAACCTTATCTAGTTCCTGGAGGTTTGATTGTATTTAGGCGAGTTGTGATTTTTAGTCTGTGACGTCATAAATAGACTGGATATTAATCAACGGACCAATATAAAGAGCGTCGGTTGACTTTCCATTTCATAACTGTTTTCTCACCGCACTCTTGTGATCTTCACGCTCTTGATCGTGCCTATGTGACTTTTTGGAGGACACACAAACGGGCATACAAACGGACACACAAGTTAGCGCTTTACATATATAGAGGATCGGATCATTTAAAAGGGGAACCAAAGGATAAGGAGACACTTCATATGCAATGTTCGCAATCATGGATAGTGTTCGGAATAAATGTCTACTATTGAAACAGCCTGAAAATAAGCGATCGACACAAGTACCTTCTCGTTCCAGATGCATGAAAAGTTCTCCACCACTAAGATATTCTAGAATAAGATATAATTTGCCGCCAGTTTGAAACGCATACAGTAGATCACAAATAAATGGACTTTTGACGGCTTCCAAAATGTTTCTTTCAGCCTGAAAGGCAGCGCTTATGGTTTCTGACAACAAAACTTCTCCTTAGCTAAAATCTGAGAGAGAACTGAGCAAAGGCAATGAAATTTTACCTTAGTATGAGCGGTATCCTTTTGATTTCTTACTATCGTAGCTTTCTGCAGAACTTTCATAGCAAATATTTTTCCTTTATCGGAACCCGTTGTTTTTTTCACTTGAAATACCTTAAAATAGAATAGGCAATTAAGCAAATAGCACGTGCAAGATGTTCGATGTTCAAGATAAAAATAGGAAACACTCTGAACTTCACAAAACTTTTAATGATTGCTTGAAAATTTCGAGGTTTTTGAATGGAACTTTGCCAATTGGTCTGATAGGCTTGAACAGCAAACATAAGAAATCTCATAACCCACAAAATTATTATGGAACTACGGGAAGTATCCGGTAAGTAAATTGAGGTGAGCAATTTCCACAAACTCCATCACTGGGTTTTCAGCAAGCTTCCAAGAAACACTATGAAGGGCCCCTAAACGCTGTCATGTGCTGATCATACAAGATTTCATGAACTTGCTATCGGTTACCATTGAGGTTCCTCTTCAACATTTTTGTTCCTAACTGTGCAGCCTTAGATAGAGGTGGACGCTTGGAAGGAGTTCGATGCCAAATTTTTTACACAAGTTCCAGTTGGTCTCAAGTGGGGGCGGATTCGAACTCGTAAAGAACCATTTCGAACATGCTTAGACAATTTGGACATTAAGGTTAAAGAAACAGGGAAGAGGTAATAGGACATGCTTTAGCATAGGCGCAATTAGTGCACTTAATGAAAACCCCATTGAAGCTTTCAGAGGTTCTCGGGCTAATGGACTGATGCGAGTTCCAGCAAATATCCGGAAAAGAAAAGAGGCAAGGATTTCCCTTTAGTCCAAAGAAAAGTATATTGTGCTAAATAGCTGGGTGATTGCTTATATCTAAATAACCTAGGCAATAGCAGTTGCGATAAAGAATAATATAGCGAACTATCAGAGTAACAGTTCAACTCTTAGAACAGCATAGTCCCCTACGCATCACATGGTAATTATATGGCGAATTCAGTTGCTGGAAATAAGGGTTGGAATGTCTTAAACTTACTTTGCCATATCCACCTTTTCCTAAAACCTTGAGCAATTCAAAGTCTTTTGGGCCGACACGAACACCTTGGTTGACGGCTATACATGACAAATCGATTGCTTCAACCATGGGATCTTGACTAAAGCAAAGAAATCGGCAAAAAATAGTGTAGTTGGTCAGAAAATATTTTAAAAAGTTCGAAATACATACATGTATGAGGAGCTAGGTGGCGGAGCGGATATTACACCCTGAAACAAACAAAAAAATATACAACAGAATATTAAGACGAGGAATCAGTTACAATGACTTCCATTAGTACAGATTTTAGCAAAAAAAAAACCCACGAAACTCCCTCAGAACAATAGCGATCGCTATGAAATGGATAAAACTATGAAGAGGCGAAAATGAAATTTTAGGAGGATAGAACCTACATCAGCTACATTACTGTACATCTGGTCATCTTCCATTTCCTCTTGCATTACACCGCTATCACCATAGCGTTGCGGCTCGCTTCCATCTAATTCAATATCGAATACACCCGCCATGCTGAAAAAATCACGTGGTTAAAGAAAATGCCAGAATAAATGGACTTATCAAAACATTAAAATGCATAAAAAAGAAAAAAATCAATAAAAATATTTTTGGATAGCGCCAAGCGATTCATTCATTATAGCTGCCCGATAACCTGTACAACATAAATGAATCATAACAACATTATAATTTGAATCATACTCTGATTTTCTCAAAATGACTGCTTATATACACAGAAAAGGTGTTGCGCGGGAAACACTTTTCAGATGATAACTAGTTGTTTTCAGAAATGAAGCTTTAAAAATATGCTTCGAATCCTTGGTTGCTTTCCAGCTACTGTAACTACAAAGCTGCAAAGGCTATTAGTTTACTAATGTAACGAAAGCGAAAACCACAAAAAATTACTTTTAGTGGGACTGTCTTTGCTCAGTGGCTAGAATTTCTCACTGAAGTGCAGGTATAACTAGTTGAACATTCAATCCTTCTTTCCTTATCAGTACCCGAGGACAGAAAAAAATTTAAAAGGAGTGTCATTTTGCTCACAAGGCTGCAGGCATAGATGGCCTCGGTATCACTTTAATAGAAATCGTGTACTCAAGCAATCTTGGTTTTCATTTGTTACTGAATTACCATCTCACATGATCCAAAATTACTTTAGAGTTTCCCTCATTTGACTAGGAGCTACTCTATCTAATCCACAACGCCACCATGACTTCAAGCCCTGCGCACCCATGGCATTACCTTCAATGTCAAAAAAGGCGGGGGTGGCAGAGGGAGATGATAGCTTGGTCTGCTCAGATCATGTCATGTGTTAGTTCAGCCAGCATGGAAAAGATAGTCAAGATTCAGCTATGCATTTGTAAATGCAGAGATGACCGCAACGATATGGGTCACATCTGATGTCATAGAATACCTCCCACCCATTACGGCGGATAGTCCACACGGTGTAATGTAAATGTAATCACAAAGACGATTGCATAAGGGACCTCTCGAAAGCCTGTGGAAAGCCGTCTTATCGCTAGAGCTACTAAACCTGCTAGACACAGAAGGAAACCGGAAGATACGCTTTCCATCTCTCTAATCCTCTAATTGCGAGCAAATGTCTTTTCATGATTTTCTATGAAGAGGCATCAGACATAGTAATACTTGAAAAACTCCATTTCAGAACGCGTTTCCGCAAAAGTTCATAAACGATTTTTCTGTGAGCTGTTTGCATGTGGGCGAGTGCGCCGACCGGACCACTGGACGCTGGACCAAATTGCTCTTTCAGCTGATCCTGCTATTTCACTCAATACAAATTCGCTGGATCGAACCTCGCTCAAAACTGCATTGGAGTTTATAAAAGGGAGACCTGCATATATCGAACTTTGCCTGATTGGCGATTAACAATTTAAGGTTCAGGCTCGGATCGTTCACATCGATTTGTATGTTCGTTCGAACAAGCAAGGCGGCAGCCCTTTCGAAAGCTGCATCTGAGACTCGGCTGACTAACCGATAAAGGTATTACTACCCGGAACAGTAAGCCAAGACTGGTGCCGTATGCTAGCGCTTGATTCTTGGCTATCCTCATCCGCTCGCATTCCCACACCATTCCAAAACAGTGCAATCGATATATTTTCAATCATTATCATAATAAAGAGACCAGAAGACCATGCCTTTCTCCGAGACCTTGAGAAGCTTTGAGGTCATCTGCACGGCGTCCCTGTCATTGAATATGCCATACGAAGATGATCAAGGAAGATATTGCTAAGATGAGCACGAAAAATGGTAGACCTGCGCCAAACAAAATCTAACATACACGCATACACGATGTCTATTCGCCCTCCAATACTGCTTACTGGGGGGAAATCAGGGAAAATCAAGATACCACGAGTCGTTAATCCACAGTTCGCTGCATCTATGCAGTCCTTAGTGTCGACCATTCGAACCCCTTGAATTTCGTGCAGCCCAAAGATGCACAACAACGTAGCTTTTGTTTGCTAAGATTTAGAATGGTAACAACTGTAGCTGTAAAAGGATGGATGGCAAATGAAGCTGCAAAAGGATAGTACCTAACTTACACTGTGGAATTAAGGTTTGTAGTCTGAAGGAAGGCCAAGAGCCTCTAGCACCTTGCCAAGCTTTTAGATTTGGCCTTGACGGGGAAAACTTTGCTGTGGAGCCTGGAGAGCATACAGGATTTGTGGAAACACGCTTTGATCAGACGAAGAACTAGGATCAAGGTTCACTATCAATAGCGCATTACCGGAGAGTGACACCGTCAACAGAAGTTTGGAGGAAAGCCTGCAATCTGCAGAAAAACGCGGTTTGGCTAACTTTCTGGTGCGACAGTGGAATGTGTGAACGGTTTCAGCCATGCATGATATGTACGACACGTTCCTAAAATTCCTGGTAGAAATTTCGTGGAACCGCTTATTGACACCTGAATCTATATGAGGGCAAATGATCTTTGATTTATCTTCGTTTATCCTCCGCTGAACGTAGCAAATGTCGCTGACTACACACGCATTGCTGACCTCGCTCAGAACATCATTCCGCGCGCAACTAGGACGGTGTTACTTAACTGTACTGACTGACTTTCCGGCTCGCACTATGTAAGGTCTATTAGGGTTGAAAAATAAATATCCTTTCAATTGCCTTCACAGTCCTACTGAAATTTTAGACTCAGCAAAATTCCAGCGTAACGGCGAGCATCTAATCATCTCCCAAAAGTACTCACCAGCTCATACAAAGACGGTACCACTTTGTGTTTGTAATCATGAAAGCAATTGCTGTATGTCGATCTAATATAGAGCCTCATAGAATACGTAAACGTATGGCATTCTTCACTACTGTTCATTCCTGATTACTGAACTGATTCGAGAACGCAGAAAGGCTTTGCGCTTGCACAATTAAAGTGACTATTTCAAAAACTTCACTGTAACCTTCACAAGGCCTCCGTGCCGGTTTTAGACCCTAGACCCTAAAAGATATCAACGGCAACAGCTGCTGTAGTTACATGTCGCATTTAAAGTCGTACATGGAGTCCGGAGTGGTTCACTTGAACATGATTACCTGTGCTTATACTGAGCTTATCCAAAGGTTTATGACCAAAAAGCAAGATTCAAAAGCTGTAACCAAGTGAGTTCTCTGGAGGCAGATTTTAGAACTACGTTTTCAATGAATTATCGAGAGAATAATATAAATTTGACTTTGATTGATTCATTTTACTGAAACGATTGCGTCTCAATGTAGCGAATCATGAGGACCAGGAAGTGCTTCTATTTTCATAGAAGTTTCCGTGCACAAAAACAGAATGTAATCAACGGAGTATTTAGAAGCCATTGCCAAACGCATGGATGATGTGTCCCATGCGTGAGGTCAACTTTATTCGTTAAATTCTGAACGTATAAGAACAAAAGCATTTACCAACAATATCTCTGCCTGCCTGAATTCTTAAAGCCGCAATTTTGAAGAAGGTATTGTTTGAAAATTTATGCCTTCTAATTAAGTGTGCGCTTCCGCCCAACAAATCAAATTGTACTGGCAGAATCTATTAATCTGCTAATCATAAGTGCTTGCGCAGAATTTAAAAAATCGAAATAGAGTTTGTAAACGCTACCAACGCAAATGTATTCCAGGCTAGGAGACCCTGAATTATTCATATAATGTTCTGCATTTTATGGATGGAAATGCAGCTATTTATGAAGGAAATGACACGAGAAACTCGGAAACACAACAATGTTATCAGATGAAAACTACGTATTGCCCACCCTCAATCCCATCTGCAGGGCAGTGTCCTATGCATATACAGGATAAGAGCATGGCAATTGTCACTCCATTACTTTCTAACCTGTCAGGCTTACACAAACAAACTTGAAAAATAATTATTGTTGTGCTTTGGACAGCAGGAAAACTGAGAAAATGACCAGAACATTAAAGCAAGAACACAGAAAATGTGTGTTGCTCCGCCGTCCTCACCGCTTCGGTTTAATTAGTAAATTGAAAAATAAAAATCGAGCGTGCATGACGTCATGGACATATTTTTAAATGTTTTCATTTATTGAGATGACTATTCGACAAAAGTATCAAACTGGGGACAAACTGGGAATAACCGTGAGTAATCTTAACGATTTCATCAGGTCTTGAGCAAGACTGGCGAGGCAATCGAGGAAATGGCTAAAATGTGATGATGATGATTACCTGTACAGCTGTGAGTACTAGTTGCCCATCAACGTGCACGCATATAACAACGGCACACTTCCGGTTTAAGAACCTGAAACGAAATGAACGTCAACCAGTACGACTTTGAGACTCGCGAATCGATCCGTCGACGTTGAGCAACAGCATTACGTGACACAAATGTGTGCAGATATGAAAAAAACGAAAACAGAAGAATTCCATTCGGCGATGAGAAAAACCGTTGGAGAACTGCGCTCAGGAAGAGGGGAAAGTTGATGACAATGATGATTCATACCCATACAGATTGTTGCGTAATCACTTTGAATACTCAGTAGTTGTAATGGAGAGAGTTCACAAGGAAAGCAAGAAAATTTAATAAATCATGAACATATACTTGTATCATTCCGACTTAAAAAGTTAACAGATCAAAAATCGATAGTAATCAAAGAAGAAACCAGGAGAAAGCAGAACAAAATAGTGAGAGAAACTAGTGTGATCACTGAAAAGTATTGCAAATAAACGAATCGATAAGGGCGAAACCCTGCGAAAGATTAGATAACGGTCGGGCACCAAACTGTCAGTGAAGCAGGTTCTCCCATCCCACGGCTACTGGGCTCCCAGCACAGCACTACCCGTCGGAGCACGACCAACAACTCGAGAGGCACGGTCCTCATCCAGGCCATTGAGTTCAACCAAGCTTTTCTCCCGATGGTCTGGTGGGCGATGACGCAAGCAGGAGACGGCTGGCTATCATCGATCGATGACCGCCTCTGGAGGACAGCCCAAATCACGATGACATGTAGCCCATTTGAAAAACCTCCAGCCCACGAATGGGTCCGAATGAATGGAGCTG